ACATCTTTGCTTCTTTATGACTCACCACATAAAGCCAGTGCCTCAAAGTCACATGTCTAGTCAGTTGATTTGCATTTTTCTAGCATCTAGCATATAATAGCCATTAATAAATAGTTGAAATACCATTCAGTAAATAATGAATGAATAGATGGATAGTTGATTAAGTAAGTTTATATATTCTTGCCTGTTGCCATTGGAGAGATGTAAATTTAACTGCCAAGTAAATGTTTAATTTTCAATAATTAATATAGGTAAATATTGAATGAAGTAAACTTTTGAGATAACTGATATGGCACAAACCAAACCAGCAGGTGGATGATAAAGAATAAAGATATAAATAAAGTTCTAATTTTTATTCCTAAGGGCAAAATTATTTCCACATTACATTTGCACACTGTGGTCCCACAATCCAGGTGTGGGTGTATTTCTGTGTTCTAAAGAACAAGGATGAAAATAATAAGAAATTAGTAAGTGCCTCTAAGGTACTGGTATCCCTATTTTCTATTTGTCTGATAAAACTCCCTAACAAAAAAATGAAAGACTAAGTAGCACAGAGAGAGAAAAAATAGCCCTCCAGGATTCTGAAGAATGCCTTTTCTTTAATGAATTATGTTTGATTTTTCTAAGCCATTGAGTAAGATAAAATTTTCAATATTAGACAATTATGTTAATATAACATGTTTTTTCTAAAATAACTTATTATTTGAAAGTCATCTAAATAAAATCTATTTTACTTTTATGTAGTTCTTTTACAGTGTTTATGTAGAATAATCTATGAGTCCATGATGACAATTAGAATTTCTTCAGTACATCGAAGGCTACATATTTGTGTCACACTCTTTTTTTATGTGTTTGATTTAGTCTTCTGTGTGGGAGATTGTCATTGGCTGGGATACAAATTAATTAGAGCCTCACAATATTTCTTCTACTGTGGCCACAAGCTCCTGTTGAGTGAAATGTCACATTCAGACAAGTCATGTAGCTATGAGAAAATGGAACAGGCATTGACTGTTTATGTGGTTTTCACTTGCTCTACATTTCATTGAAGACAATTAAGATTAGCCAGTAGTTTATTAGAAGAAATAATATTGAAAATAGGCTTCTAAAATTTGTATTTTTTAGTAATACCAAAGGAAATATTTTATGCTGTATAGTATAGATAATAAAACACAAAAAGTCACCAAAAGTTAGTCAACAGTTTGTGCCTTAACTGTTAAGCTAAGGTGTAAGATGGCAAACGTGTATTAGTTCATTTTATCACATGTGTATCAGCCTTGATGTGGTTTGTTATCTGATAGAAGTATATGTTTAGGTCTGGAATTTCAGAAATTATGTTCCAGCAGTGTATTTTTAGATTTAGGATTCAATTTATCATATGGAATTAAGAGAATATTTGTTTAGTCCAAAAACCTGGATTTCACTATGACTTTCTGAGCTTTAATTTCCTCCATGAGCTTATTAATTAATTCACAGTATTAAAGATTAAATAAATGATTTATAATATTTATAACAAAATCTGTAAATATAAATAATAGCCTTCTGGTTAAGACAAATATAAAGTATTTAAACTTAAACATGTAAGCTAAAGTAAACATATTTTACTTTACACACAAATTTCACACACTATTTGAAGTTATTCAACACATGTTTATAATAATATAAACATCACTTTATGTATAAATGAAATATGCTCTCTTCAAAAGTTTCACTTGGCAACTCCATTTAAAAATTGGTGAATGATTAAAAGGAAATTGCTTTCTTCAGTGCCTGATGATATACCAGTTAGAAATGCTCTTTTCCAATGGTTCCCTGACCTTAAAAATTACTGATATTCTTCCTTATGTAATTATTTACTTTTATTTTTAAATCTGTGGTTTATTTGTAGGAGTAGGGGTTAATCACGCTAAGCTTTCCAATTCCTCCTAAGTAAAGCATTGGAAATGAAAGAATAAAGTAGAAAAATATGTATCTCCAGTATTCATTGCTCATATTCATAACTATGAAAGTGCATACCATAAATAAATAGTCTATGTCCATTTTATAGTTAAGGTTTTTAAATTTTCATCTGGTCAAGTAAAAATAACTAATAGAAAGTAGAAAACTACTAAAATTTTTGTATTTTTCATGAATAACAGGCATTTGGGTATAGTATCTCTGCAGTAAATTATTGAAAACTCAAATTGTGAAATAATATCATATGAGTCCAAATTGTTTATACAGTTACCAGTAGAAGGATCAAACATATGAGTTCTTATTAAAATATACCATTATCCCTGTCACACAATGGGAAAGAATAAAAGGGCAATTTTGAATGACATTTATATCAACTTTGGAACTGTCAACCTCTATTATGTCCTTGGGGCCCTGCACTTTTTGGCTTTCAGACATCTGTGCTGCCTTGAGTGAAGAATATTAAGCATTCCAGTGGGTCTCTTGCTTTAATAAATGCTTTGAATACTCATCTTTCAGCATGCACATACAATAGTTCTTAGTGCTTAAAGCTAAGACATGTGGCATTTCACCCCTCAGCCTCCACGTCTCCATCATCTTCATCAACATCATCACCCCCCTGTGTGCACACTCACACTCTATTTCCTCTCTGCTCATAAATCTCCCCAGTTCCAACACTGGGAATACATTCTTTCCTCTCTTATTTTACTGCATGGTCAAGTGAAGGAGCTCCCTTTAATTTCTTGAAGCATTCCTCAAAACTTTTCCAGAAGTTGTTAGTCCTGTCAAAAAGATGTTGTAGGGCTGTCCCAGTAGCCCCTAGTTCACACAGAGAGTAGCAAACAGGTATAATTGGTGGTGGGGGAAAGTGCCTGGAATATTTCCAGTTGCATACTAATTAGCCAATAAAGTCCCTATGAGACAGTCAGGATGTTTAAACTTAATTCAGGGAAAAGATCTGGATTCTAATTCTGATTGATCCACAGAATCTCAGTAGCATTTGGTTTATTATGCATATCAATGTCTCTAGGTTTTATTGTTAGCATAGATGTCCCAATCAATGATTGAGGTACTATTATATATTTTAAGTGTAATTTTTCTTATATTCAGGATGGTTTTGAAAGGGTTTTGAAGCCTAATAAAACTTTTTCGTCTCCCTACATAAGCCAGTGGCTCTCACATGTTAGTGTGCTTCAGAAGTACCTGGAAATGCTAATGAAAGCACAGGTTATTGGGACCCACCCCTTATTTTACTTCTCACCAAGATCCTACAAATCAATATAATTTGGTATAATGATCAGTAATTCATTTTGTATTTCACATGATAGTAAATTGCGGATATGAATTATCTCATGAATTTTCAAATAACTATTCTTTTCTCTTAAACAAACAAACAAACAAAATGAACCAAAAAAAAGGAGTTTCAAGTGCAGATTTTCCTAGTCTGTTTATGAATTTCCTAAGGGTACCTAAATATAGAATTAAAGAAAAAAATCCCAATAATAAACTTCTTAAATATGTAAACTTGAAATGGATGTCATTTTATACCACAGACTTGTTTTGTTTTGTTTTGTTTTTTTGGTACTAAATTGAACCCAGGGAAGCTTTACCACTGAACTATGTACTCAGACCTTGTATTTATTTATTTTCTTTTGATACAGGGTCTTGCTAATTAGCTGAAGGTCTCATTAATATACTGAGGCTAGACTTGAAGTTGTGATTCTCCAGCCTCAGCCTCCTATATCACTGGGATTATGGGCATGTGCCACCATATCTGGTTCCGTTTTACCATTTTTTTGTAAAATAATTTATTGCAATTTTTTGGTAAATATGTACATAAGATTTCTGTATATGTTAATGAAAAATGTCTCCATGTCACCTAATTACCCATTTGATTAAAAATCATGCTACTTTCAAAAATTTATCCTGCTATTGGTAAATACTTTATGTTCTTAACTCAAGAAATAGTAACTAAGTGGGAACTAAATTTCTATCCTACCGTAATATCAATGGAAACTTGGATGTAATGTAAACAATCATATACAAGTAAGTGGCACATTATTCCTATTTTACAACACAGAAAAGGAAGGACTAAATTAACTTTCTATAATGATAGGAAAGTGATATGATGCTAATATTATCTGATCCTCATATGTTGCAATAGAAATTTTGGTGATATTGTATTCATAAATTTCACACATGAAATTACATAAGGGCTAAATAGAAAGGCATTAAATAGAGTTTTAACTATTCAGGCATAGAAAAATTGGAAATCACCAACCGTGCTGAACAGATCATATTATTCTTCATGCCACGTGTAGCATGCTCTAAGGCATCAAGAAAACAAATCTGGGTTTCAAAACAAAATGCTGTATGTTACATGTTTACAACAGTGTCACATGTAAATAAGTAGTATATATTTGGATAATGTTTATTATTATGTTATTTTCCTTTTTAAATAAAATCCAGAAGTGTTTCTGAGAAACATAGGGGAAGTGACTATTTTCTAAGAAAGGTAGAAAATTTTCTTCTATTTTGTATTTAATTTGGAGAGCAGTTCTAATGAGAGTTGCACAATCACTTAAGTCATCCATCCATCACAGATGTTCCAGGTACTCTGCCCAAGCACCAGGATAGAAAGATGCTTGAGATTCAAACCCTGTTATTTGGAGGTTTTATAAAACAGAACCAAAAAGATCACCTACCTACATCAGAATTTTTATAAGAACTGTAATGTCTCTCAATAAATGTGAATAGTATAAAGAATAACTTTTTAAGAATATTTCTTACAGGTTACATCAATTATGTGCCTTCAGTGCATAGTCGAGGTCATGTGTCCTTTCTCTTATACAACAGGGGTTTTGTAATATGTAGTTGAAAGTGACATTGTGTTGACAGCTAACCAAACACTGTAATGTTCAGCTTGAATGTTAAGATCACTGATTGGTAGAGTAATTTGATGGGAAATGACAGGCTGTATACCTGTGTTTTTCTAGACATTTTTGATCAGCCTTTCCTTACCACAGCTCATGTTCTAATGATCATTGCAGGATGAAGTGGCACAGCCACTGAACCTATCAGCCAAACCCAAGACCTCTGATGGCAAATCACCCACATCACCCACCTCTCCCCATATGCCAGCTCTGAGAATAAACAGTGGGGCAGGCCCCCTCAAAGCCTCTGTCCCAGCAGCATTAGCTAGTCCTTCAGCCAGAGTTAGCACAATAGGTAAGTTCTGTTTCTTTTGTTCTTGCTGATTTTCTGTTTGTACCAATTGATTGAAATCATCTTTAATGGCATATCACTCCTACTCTGTGCATGGCTTGAGCTCAGTAGGAGACTTTCATTTTAAAGGATTACACAGGTCTGCTTTAAACACACAAGTGTAATTTCTAACTGAAGTCCAAGTTATAATGTCCCCTTGCAATCAAATTGTACTGGTTATATTTATGTGTGTAACTTATGTCTACAAGTTTATTAAAAAGAGACCTAAATGACTAATCAGAGTAAGCAGTGGTTCCAGTATTTTGTTGTTAGGTGACTTGCTTTTTCTTTCACTGAAATTTATTTTCATTTTTTTGTACTATATAGAAAGTATATATAATGATGAAATACATTCTACCTGAATCAGCAATCAACCACTAGATGTGAAGTTAATTCCATTCCATTCTGTTTAAAAATTCCACTTAAACACACCAAACTATTATTAAAAGTGATGCCTTCACTTCTCTATAAGTGTAATTTTAGTAGAGTAAATATACATTAAGGAATGTTTCTTTAAGCTGACTAAAAATACAAAGATCTTTATTTTGGCATTATAAATTAGAATGTAAATACGCAATCCGGCACAAATTTGTTGATATGTTTAGTACTTTGTTTCATTATGAGGAGGCTAGCATAGACTAGCCCTCAAGTAGCCAGCCTTATGGTTTAGGTGGGGAAGAGTCGTCTCTCCTATAGTACAAGTCAGGTATAGTATGTGCTACTCTAGAGCGGCAATCCTATGATTAGAGGAGACTGTTGGTTCTCATTGAGAAGTATCAAAAAAGACTAAATTGAAGCTATCATAATTAAATCTGACCTTTGAGGAGGAGCTATATTCCTAAGCTTTCTGGATGCTAAGCAAAGAATACAGCATACTTCTGAGAAATGCACCAATTTGATTATAGAATGAGTAAGTGGTAGAAAATGATGAAGTTGAAAACTGAAAGGCTCAGATTAATACTTGGCTAAAATATTTTGACTTTTTCTACAGGAAGTGATGTGATCAGAACTTTAGGAAAAGTACTGTCAACAGAAAGATACTGAAATCAAAGAAACCATTGTTTTAGTGTAAGATGAGAGTAGGCCACCTGAGAGAGAAATAGACAATCATAAAGCAAAGGAGAAAACAGATTGAAGAGATGGTCGTGACATAAAATATTAACCATCAAATATATCTGAAGAGGTTCCAGTTGGAGACAGAGGATTCAAGGATTTTGATTTCATGTAATAATAAGTGTTGTTGCCTCCATTAACTATGAAAGAGAAGACCAAAATGGGATAAAATTTGGGGGTAAGACATATAATAATTTAATATATGTGGAATTTGAATCAAAGAACCATGTAAGTATTGATGTTCAGGAGGTAACTGTGAATATAAAACTAAAATTTAAATAGGGTGCTAATATTTTATATATGGAAATCATTCCTTGAAGCCAGGAGACAAAATAAGTTCACCGGAAAACAGTATGTCTGGTAAGAGAGAAGCCGATGGAGAATCATTGGTGCTACCTACTGTATTAGTTATGTATTGCTGCATTAAAAAACCTAAAACAAAGCCTTAAAACAAACATGATTTACAATCTCATAGTTTCTAAGGGTCAGTTAATTCAAGCTTAGACTGTGTCAAATAATTACAGTCAAGATGTTGGCCAGAGCTGTAATCACCCTTGGACTTTACTGGCGATAGATATCCTTGTTCAACATGCCTCATTTTCGTGGCTGTTGTCTGGAGAACAGAGTTCTTTGCCATATAAATCTACAGCTAGAGCTGCTCATAGCATGATAGGTGATCTTCTCAAGTGAATGATCCAAGAGAGAATACACAAAGAGAAAATTGCAGTACCTTTTATGACCTGATCTCCAAAGTTGCACACAGTAAGTTTTCTTGATTCTTCTCATTATAAGAGAATTACTAAGTTCAGCCCAACTTAAGGGAAAGGAAATTAGGCTCCTACTTTTGAAGGAAACAGTATCATATTTTTAAACCACCACATTTTTTTAGATGGAAAACTAATGAGTGTCTTAGAATATGAATGAAGATAGAGCAACGTTATGCTGGCCTAGGAAAATGAAAAGTTTCAACAAAATTGGGTTATTTCATGGTGTGGCACATTTTGTAGGGACGGTAAAGATCATGAAGAAGAAAAGCCTTAGGATTTTTCTGGAGTTCACAGATTGGTAGGCTCTGACAAGGAAATTTTACTAGTGTGGTTTGAACAAACTTCTAATTGTGTAGCTTTGAAGAATATGAGAAAGTGCAGTTGACAGTACATACTAAGGCTGAGCAGAAAAGGATTTTAGAATAGGAATATATTCCTTTCTAAGGAGAAAGAAGAAGAATCAGGAGAGATAGATAATTATGAAAGAATGCAAGAGTGAACATATCACAAAGAGATAATGAAAAACTAGCCTTGGAAAGAAGAGCTATATTTCTTTCTTTCTTTTTTTTTGGTCTGGAAGTAAAAGAAATGAATAGAAAAGCAGTCAAGGTTCAGAGAAATTGTTAGCTAGATAGAGAAAAGACTGCAGGATATATTGCAAATGTTTTAATCCCCACAAACTAGAATTCAAGATTATTTGTTTAGAGGAATTTTGTTTGATACATTAGAGCAGCAGTGAGAAGAGAAGCAGTGAAAACTGAATTTTTGAGAAGTTTGAAAGCAGTTTGGAAGGCACACATGCATTTTCACCTTTATGGTCTAACTCTTAGTTGCTCTTCTCAGCATCCTTTAGCTGTTGGTAGAAAGATCAGATTTGCTTTTATGTTCTGAGTATGTAAAAGAAAAAATATTTTACTTGGCGAGAATGATTCACTTGCATAATATAAATGAAGGCTCATAAATATCGCAGTGTTGATATATGAGCTATTTTTTTAATGTTACTAGAACTCAAATATTTAACTAATAGAATAACTAATGTATATGCATTTTTATCGTATGTGGATTTTTTACTTCAGCATTCTCAAGGATTAAGTATGACAAAGTATTTTATGAAGGCAGAAATGTATCTAATGACATTTATCATATGACTTTCTCCACTTCTAAAACATCTCTTATTTTCTTCTTGAAAAGCCCCTTCATCACATACACATCCCTCAAATTTTCCAAGGGTTTGAGGCTACTACAATTTACTTTCTCTTTTCAACAAATGCAGATGTTGAAAGCTGAAACCATAATGAGTAATAATGTAGTTGGATAAAAGCTGTGAGGATTAATGGTGTTGTAAAGGTCACTTCTGAAAGAAGAATTAATGTGTTATGCCATTAATAAACCATGGAAAGCTGTGGACCAAAGATAACTTAAGTTATCATTAATGACATGGGGCTCTTTGCTATATATCTATTAGCTACAAATATAGAAAGTGACTTTTTGAGATTGGTGACCAGTATTACAGTGCATTCTATAAGAATGCTTTCGATTGGTAGGCAAATGATAGGCAGCTCCAAAGAAAGGGGATCCTTAAAAGGCATGAACAGTTTACAAGAACGATGGATAATTTTAGAATCTTTTGACCAGATGTTTGCATTCCCTCATAAGCCCTTTCCACCTATGCCATTTATATGTATAACACTTTTAATTTTTAAAAAAGTTTTTTTCCTCTATTTTCTTAACTACAGCTATTCTAAAATTATGGACCCTTAATTAAATAGAGAACATATCCATATCATCTGGTCAAAGTTGTCATTCTACAGATAAGGAACAGAGAACTAAAGAGGCTAAGTGCCTAATCAATCAATCATTCAGAGTGATTTCCTTTCAAAACGTAGATTGTCTTAGGATTCTGTTTATTATCCATTTTACTATTGTTTTGTTTTGGAACTGGAGATTGAACTCAGGGCCTCACACATGCCAGTCATGTGCTGTATCATGAGCTCCACCCAATCCCCTTTGTTTTACTTTTAAGGCTACAAATAACAACCTAGTGACTGGTCTACATATGCTGCTGTTGCAGGCTGGGGGCTTGTGAGTAGCCAGTCTCTTGTTGGTATTCTTTCTTTCCAGTTATTGCTGATTAGTGGCATCACTGCATTAGATGCTCTTCTTCCTCAGAATTAAATGCTTTCTCTGTGTCATACATTTTGCAAACTCTGAAGGGCAAGCAGGTAAAATCCCTGTATGGAGGCTTTAGGTGCCTGTAGTCTGTGTCCCAGGAGACCTTGTAACATATTGGAATGTATTACCCTCACCCTTCATTCCTTAGAGACACGAGAAAAGTAAAACTTCACTTGAGCTAATACAATACATACATATTGACCACATAAAACAAAAGGAAATATGTTCAATTTCATTAGCTGAGCATGTTATTCCTACATTTTCCGAATTTTAAAGGTGATAACATAAAGAAGAATATTACCTTGAAATTCTGTTAGTTTACATTTTAATAAGAAAAACTTACATGAGTATTTTAATGAGAAAATCTTATATCAGGATAGGTGACTGTGATTCATAAAAAAACTATTGGATTATCATGACATTAGGAGTATCATTCAACTGCATCTGGCAATTACATTTGCATAACACTTTGTGGTTTACAAATTGCTTTAATATTGATTATCTCGTTCTGGTGAGTTTTCACAGACTAAGAAATGGTTACATATAAGGAAACCATAAATTTGATGATAAGTGACAAAGAAAGAAAGAAAGAAAGAATGTAAGAGAAAGAAAGTTATCATTGAAAATCACTTGATGCACATTCTGCTCTTACATTTACTTTTAAAAAGTTTAATGTAAAATAAATATGCAGTAAATAAGAACCTGTATTGCCTTGATATCATCAGTTAAACCAATAAGCTTTAATAATCCATGCTATATGGCACAGTTTTTCACTGATAAGAAGACAGAATAACCAATGAAGTGGAATTGTAATGACAGATACTTTCAACTTAGAAATATGTACTTATTCCTTCAAAAGACCCTGTTATCTAGCAAAGGAATAAGATTGAAAAAGCTCCCTAAATAGTTCAT